TGCTTGTGACCACAGCCACACAGCTTGTTTGTCTAGTAGCCTGTGAAGAGGCTCAGCTACACTAGCTTTATGTGGAAGAAAAGAATTGTAGAAATTCAGGAGGCCTAGGAAGGCCTGAAGTTCGGCCTTAGACTTTGGCCTGGGTGCTTCTAAAATAGCAGTTAGTTTGGATTCAGCAGGATGAATCCCAGCAGCATCAATTTTGAATCCCAGAAATTCAGTAGAAGGCACCCCATCTTGCATTTGTCTTTTCTGAGCTTGAGGCCTGATTCCCTGAATCTTAACAGGACAGCCCTAAGTCTTTCAGCTAGAATGTGTGTGGAGTCTCCTGCAATCAAGACATCGTCAAAGTAGGGGCAGACCCCTGGTATACCTCGTAGTGTGTTTTCCATTACGCTTTGGAAAATCCCAGGAGCGACATTTACTCCAAACTGTAGCCTTTTTACTTTAAAGGCTCCCCTGTGGGTCACAATGGTCTGAGCTATGGCAGCATCATCATCAACAGGCAGCTGTTGATATGCTTGAGCTAGGTCAAGCTTTGCAAAAACACGCCCCCCCTTGAGAGAGGCCAGGATGTGACTGACCACAGGAACAGGATAGGCATGTTGCTGCAATGCCTTATTGAGTGTGCATTTGTAATCAGCACAAATGCGAATGTCCCCATTTGCCTTTAGAGGCGTGACAATGGGGGTCTCCCACGGGCTGGAATCAACAGGTTCTAGGATTCCCTGTTGGATTAGTTTGTCTAGTTCAGTGTCAATCTTACTTTTTAAAGCAAAAGGGACCCTTCTTGCTTTAATCCTAATGGGAGTGACAGTGGGGTCTAGCTTTAAGGACACAGGTGGTCCTTTGAATGTGCCCAGCTGGGGGCTGAAAACATCTGCAAATTCTTTGCAGACTTCCTGTAGGTCGAGTGTTTGTAAGCTGTTGAGTCCTGTGACGTGTATCCCCAGGGCCTCAAACCAATCGAGTCCTATGAGACTCGTTCGTTCACCCCCTACTACTAATAAGTCTAGTGGACCTTCAAAACTCTTGTATTGCACGTTAAGGGTGGCCTCCCCCTTAACACACACTCTTGAGTTCTGAAAATCTGTTAATACAATATCAGAAGGCCTTAACTTGGCCTTAGACCCACTTCTGGAACAAATCTTCCTAAATGTATGCAATGAAATGATGGACAGGGCAGACCCTGTGTCTAGTTCCATAGATAATGGAACCCCTTGTAGCTTCACGTTGAGTGACAGCTTTTTCTTCATGGGCTTGTGTGTGCCTGTTCTACAGATGCTTCTTCGCGAAGCGCAAAAACCTACCCTATTCTGGCTGGGGAATCTGGTACCTTTCAGGCGTTCTTCTTGGGGTTGTGCCTTTCGTCGGCTCAGACACACAGCTGCAATGTGCCCTTGTTTGCCGCATGCCCGGCAGGTAGCGGAGCGGAACTTGCAGTCGGTTCTTCTGTGGCGACCTCCACAGCCGATGCACTTGAGCGGAGCCGAAGAGCTTCCCTTCTGGTTCTCTTCCTTCGCGGGGTGTAGACGGTCGACTTCCTCGTCCGGATCCTCCTCGGAGTTTCGTTGGACGTCTTCCTGGTGCACGGACGCACCCTCTGCACTGTTTCTGATCGGCCGCATGTTTTTGACGGCGCCGCCTGCTGCTTCTTCTGCGGTGACTTCCCTTAAGGCGTCTTGGAAGGATAATTCTTCCTTTGCGAAAAGTCTCTGTTGTAGCTCTCGATGCCTTAACCCGCACACGAATCGGTCCCTCAGTCGTTCCTCGAGGTCCTTGAACTCGCAGGGCTTGGCGGCCTTCCGTAGCGCGGCGATGTATTCCTTGGCTGTTTCACCGGACCGTTGATCCCTCTGCTCGAAGGTGTGGCGCCATGAGATAACGGACACCTTGGGGTGGAAGTGCTCTTTCATCAGCTTCTTCAGGTCTGCGTAGCTTACAGACTCTACTGGAACAGGTGCTGCAAGGTTTTCTGCGATTTCGAAGGCGTCTTGGCCGCAAACGCAAAGCAGGGTGGCGGCCTTCAAGCTATCTTCCCTCACTTGGTTTGCCTTGAAGTAGTTCTCTGAGGGGATTGTACTTTTGCTATCCCCCCATACGTGGGGCAGATCCCACAAGCTGACACTAAAGAAGACTCCTGACACAGAGGCTTTCTTGGGGTGGGACTGCCCCGAACCGAAGTCCGGGAAATACTTTATTGATTACAATATGCAAATAAGCATTGATTACATGTGATACATTTGTGCCATACATATAATTTCTTGCTGCGCCATAAGCTTAAAACCACTCCCATTACTTAGTCTCAGAGCATGTCAAGAGTACATGTCATGTTTGACCTATATTGCCCACCTGGCGACACAAAACAAAACCCTGTGGTTAGTGCCTTCTCGAGCTTAGTTCTGCATAACATCCTGTTTAACTGTCATGCGGTTTGCCATTTGTGTTACGAGCTAGCGAGCTTTGCCGCAGACGTTTCCTCTAGAAAGGGCAAAGAAAGGGCAAGGAGGGGGCGAGGAGGGGGCTACAACTCCAACATCTCCCCTGTCTTTTTCTAATTAAAGGAAAAATCATCTTCTTCACTGCTAAGGGTTATGGCTAAAGGGTCCGGTACATCCATGGTTGGCAGTGCCTTGTACCTAACCAGGTGTATGGTCCTCTTGTCCACCATACCCTCCACAGTGCTTTGTATCAGGTTTCGAAGAAGGGGAATCAGGCAGGGAAGTAAAAGGAGACCTAACAAGATTATACCAAACATGAAGGCTGCTTGCTTCCAGTTCCTAAAAATCCCGCCCAAAAATCCTCCTTCATCCACGATCCCAGTCCATTTTTGTACAGGCACATGGACCAGCTTATGGAGTTCTTTGGTCAAATCTGCAACTACCTTTCCAGTTTCATCAATTTCTAAACAACAGTTGGTCAAATTAAATTTTCCACACACTCCTCCCTCCTTAGCAAGAAGATAATCCAAGGCCAAGCGATTTTGGTAAACAGCGGTGCGCAGCTTGTCCTGAGCAGTGGCAAGAATGGTTAAAGCGGCTGAAATGCGTCGGCTGCCTAACTCAAGCACAGCCTGCAAGCGGATAATGCGATTAAGCATATATATGGGGGTCCTATAACCCCAGGACCCATCCTCAGCCCAAGTGGCAAGATCGTAGTAGGCAATGATTCTTTCGGGTGGCCATTCATCGTCCTTCCAGTTGCCTACCCGTATACCTGCATAGCCTTCCGAGGGCACATCCCTCTTTTTTCTACCCCAATTGTCATACACCGGGGCACCCAGGGTCTGTTTAGCAGTCAGGGGAAGGAGGAAAAAGGAAGGTTTGATCCACCCTAACACACAAGCCCCTGACCAATCTGGAGGCAAGTACTCGTATGCAAAGGAACCGCATACCCAATACATGCCTTGCGGTGCTGTCCAATTGAGAGAGGACCTGCGGAGATAATTAAAAAAGGTATGATTTAATAGTACAGGAGCAGGACTCGTTGGTGGGGGAGACCCACTGGCCCCTTTCCCATTGTCCACGGCAAAGAAGTGTCCCAACAGGGATGGAGCCATTCCTGAAAAAGCAATTTGTTCCTACAATATTTGTAGTTAAAGTCCACACTACAGGGTCTTCCAGGTTTCTAAAGGTAAAATTAGCAAATTTTGTTTGATTGTTCAAATACTCAGGATCTGCTTCATGAACCTCCCATGGCCATTGTTCCCCCATGTTGGTACCTCCACAAACAAAACAATTTTTTACACCCAATGTAAAGGCTATTTGTTCTGCAAATTCCATGAAAAGGTTTCGTGCTTTGTCAGATATTAGGGGAGACGCTTTGGTCTCTAATTTAGCTAGATGATCATAAACGGACCATTCAATTCTTTGAACATCTTCCAAGTTTTGGACCTTTATGGTGATGTGTGTCAATGGGTCTAATCCATATCCATCAATGCCTATGCCATAGGTTTCCATGGGAGGATAATTTTTTTCTAATTCTATAGTTACCTTGTTGCTATTTGGTTGTCGGACAAAGGAACGAACAAGGCGCTGTTTAACATTAAGGGGATTATAGCAGCCCCTGTAGCCCCCATTCGTGTGCGAACAAATTGCCCGCCAAACTGTTTTTTGGTAGGCCTCCCAAGCGATGCAGGGTTGTGGAAATGAAGAAGGCTCTAGGGGTGGAAATCTAGTGCACAAGTACTTGTGATCGTTGTTATAACCAGCAGGTCGATGCCCACAGCCACGGAAGGATTTTTTCGACATGGCACCGCAGACATCAAAGGTTATAGCCCAATTTTCGGCTTTAGTGACCACTGTGTGATTCACGTACCATAACCGAGCTGCTTGAGGCGGTCCCTTGACAATCCCAATGCCTGCCCAAATGGAGATGTTATACCGTGTGGGCAGGGCCGGGTTATGACACGTGAATGACAATCCTTTGGTGCAGGTCACATATTGAGTTTTGTTAAAAATACAAAAAGATTTCTGGGGACAGGGAGTTGGTACAATATTAGAATGAATCAGGGTGAGAACAGTTGACAGACCTTGTTTAACCTGAACGATGCATCGGTCACAACTGGCATCCACCTCCCTGCGCACTCTGTGCGAAGGAGTTGGAGTCTGGTTCCAGTTTCGATTTTCTTGATAGGTATTGTTAGCCTTGTCACCCTCTGCAAAAGCCACCCACATAGCCAAGAAAATACATATCATAAACAGTGTCAATATTACAAAATGATATACAAAATGCGAGCAGGACATTCGCGCAGTTAGCAAATCGGTAAATGTTAGACCACCTCGAATGAAGGGACATCGCGGCGGATCCTTATAGGGAGGAGGGGAGTCTTCGGAGGACCCCCGACCGTTTTCCTGGTAGGTCGGGGGGCTATCCGGAGGTCCATATTCGGGAAGTGGTGGAAAAGACAAGGGGTCTGGTTCCCCTCCGAGGTCAGGAGTGGATTCAGGCATCATGATGTGAGGGAGGATCAGGCTCCGATGCAATGGGTGGGCCCGCAGGTTTGCAAAGATAGGGTCTTACTTGCTTCCCTGGCACCCACAGTACTCGATCAGGCAGTTGGATTGCTGCGTAGCCTCGCCCCCAGGTGATGAGATCAGCCGGACCTTTCCAAGTAGGATCAGGCAACTCGCGAGAATACACTGGAGGGCGCAAATTTTTGATTGTCGGTGACTCTGGCGTGGCAAAGTGGCGTTGCGCTGCCGACAAAGGTGGAGTGCCTGTGAGGTTCAGGAAATTGAGAGAATAGAGTGCTCGATTTAAGGTATCTTGCAGTGAGGGGAGGCCAGGAGTTCTTTTCTCCTGTTCGAATCGTTTTAGCATGTTTTTTAGGGTCTGATTAGCACGTTCAACGATCGCTTGACCGGTAGAATTCCAAGGAATCCCAAACTTGTGGGCAATTCCCCATTTCTGACAAAAAGAGGAAAACGGCGCGCTGCTATACGCTGAGCCGTTATCCGTTTTTAACTCTTTGGGGCATCCCATCACTGCAAATGTACGGAGACAATGATTAATTACGTGCTTCGTAGCCTCGCCCCTTTGGGGGGAGGCCATAATAAAATTTGAAAAAGTATCAATTGAAACATGTAAAAACTTCCACGGGGAAAAAGGGGGATATTGAGTGACATCCATTTGCCATAGGGAACAAGTGGCCAACCCACGTGGGTTGACTCCCAGTGGTATAGCATGTGCTTGTAAACTGCAGGTGGCACATTGCTGGATGATGGCCGAAGCCTCGGCCGATGTCAATGAAAACTGTTTCATGAGGGCTTTTTTATTTTGGTGAAAGTAGCTATGACTTTCCCAGGCCGTGAGCGGAGTCACGGGAAAAAATTGATGAGACTCTTTACCCAAAGGTTCCTTTGTTAAAGGCTCCTTTGCTGCCGCATCCGCCTTTGCGTTACCTTCTGTCAGCATGCCCGGAAAGGGCTGGTGACTTCGGATGTGGGCGATAAAAAACGGTTGGGCACGGGCATGGATTAATTCTTGTAGCTGACAAAAAAGAGCCATTAGAGATGAGTCTAATGAAGGTGAAAGATAGGACTGAAAGATATTACTAACAACATGAGCAACATACAAAGAGTCAACAATTAAGTTAAAGGCAGAATCCTTAAACATAAAAAAGGCCAATACAAAAGCGGCCATTTCAGCCCTCTGGGCAGACTTGTGGCCATGAGTGCGATGGGTTTGCCAAACACCATCTTGTAAGAAAGTACAAACGCCTATGTGGGCGCTTCCATCTGCAAAAACTGTGGGGGCAGAAGGAATAGGAAAGGACACACATGGAGATTGCCATTTTACTGGGACAGTTTGGACAAGAGTCAGACGGGGGTCAGCAGGGAAATGATACTTAACCTGTCCTGGCCACTGGGCTAGAGCAGCTTGGAGTTCTTCGGATTCCCTGTACACCTGTTCCCACAGGGGAAGTCGCAGGGGAACAAAAAGAACAACTGGCTCAGTGCCTGTTAATTGGCGGCATCGAACACGTCCTTTGAACAACAGAGAAGCATACAGGGAGAAACGAGAGGTGATAGTTTTGCGTGGAGTGTGGGGCAAATGCATCCATTCGACAATCATCAAAGGCGATGCAATTTGGACCACAACCAGCGTGGGTAGAAGAAGGGTGTTTAGAATTATAAGAGACAAAGGAACATCAGGCAAGACACGATCAACTCATTTGACAGACAACATTTGAGTGATTAATTTGAGAATTTCCAGGTGTTCAGATGTTAGAAAAATCTTGTCACCGGGAGATTTGTGACCTTGCAAGGCTGAAAAAAGAGGTGCCAATTGTGAGGTGGTTAAGCCCATATATGGTCGTGCCCAATTAAGGGTTCCCAAAAATTGCTGCATCTGAACAAGGGTAGCAGGATTGGGAAGTGTTAATTGGGGCAGTATTGGAGAGGAACTGGAGGCTATGACCTTATGGCCCAGATACAAAAATGGTTCTTTTGTTTGAATTTTTTCGGGTGCCACTGTCAGTCCATTGTTAGCCATGTGGTCTCTAAGCTCAGCGGCCACAGTGGACACAATCTCAAAACAAGCAGAAGAGGCAATTAAAATATCATCCATGTAATGATAAAATAAAAAGGTGGGATACTTCACACGAAATGGCTTCAACAAAAAGGAAATAAAATATTGGCACATTGTAGGACTGTTTATCAGTTCCTTGAGGCAAAACTGTCCATTCAAAACGCTCAGATGGGTATGCATTATTAAACACTGGTATGGTAAAGGCAAACAATTGGCGATCTTTGGGATCCAGAGGGATGGAAAAAAACGCATCCTTTAGATCCATGATAATTAAAAAAAAATTTTTTGGGATTAAATTTGGGTTGGGAAATCCCAGTTGGAAGGGTCCCATAGGAGCAATCAGTCTGTTTATGGAACGCAAATCCTGTAAAAATCTCCAATTTCCAGATTTCTTTTTTATCACAAAAACAGGTGAGTTGTAAGGACTAGTAGATGCAACCAGATGGCCCAATTGAAACTCCTTATTGACTAGCTGTTGTAATGCTTCCAATTTTTCTTTTGTTAGGGGCCACTGATCCACCCAAACAGGAGTGGGGTCTAAAAGAGTGAGGGATAGAGGGGTGGGGGAAGTTTTTGCCATTCCTAAAAGGTTAATGTGGCCCCAATTTGGGATAAAAGATCCCGACCCCAAAGATTAACTTGCAGGGGAAGGACGACAGGGCGAATACGTGCCTGTTTGTCGGTGTGAGAGGAAGTGACTAACAGAGGCAAGGTGCTAATTCGGGCCGTTTGGATGCCTCCGACGCCTCGGACGGCAGGGGAAGAGGTGGTGGGCCAGTCAGCAGGCCACTCAGAGGTTCTAATTACTGAAATATCTGCTCCGGTGTCTATTATGCCTGAAAAAGAACGATTATTTAACACAAAGGTAACAAAAGGCTTATCCGAATGAATAGTGGAAGTGAAAGCAAGCAATGGGTGGTCAAGAAAGTGCTTTCGGTAATTGTTAAGAGAGGGGTTGGGGGGAACAATCGGCTCCATGTCCTCATAAGCGAGGGGATCGAACTCCAGGGCCACCGGCATCACAATTGCAGCCAGGTCTTCCTTGTAGATGACTAAAGGAGCGTCAACAATGCAAATTAGAGCCAGAGAAGAAAAATCATCGGAGTCAACCAAGAAAGGGGAAGCGAAAACGCCGCGGGAGATGAGGTCTCTAGCCGGATAGCAAAGCAAGGGGACTTTTGTCGGCATAGAAACATCAGGTAAAGTAAGAGGAAGAAAATATGTAAGACCAGGTATTTGCATAGAAACAGTTTCGACAGCAACAGCATGCATAGATGTTATAAAGGTTTCTTTTAAGTTAAATGTAGCCAAAGAATCAGCCTTGGGGAGAGGGCTGGCTGAGTGCCCCCCCACTAGTTTCCCTGGTTCTGGTTGTTATTGTTGGCAGATTGGGGAGGGGGATTCACACGACACAGGGAAGCCCAGTGATAGCCCTTTTTACAACGGGGGCACACAGTTTTCGGCTTGTTTTGATTTGAATTTGACTGATGTGCGCCACCCCCAGGGGCACGACACTGTGCTCAAAAATGACCGGGCTTGCCACAGTTAAAACAGTTTCCATTCTTAGACGTCTCCCCTTTGATGTTTTGCAATGCCATTGCTAAAGTTTCCATGTTGTGGACATTGGTGCCGACGATTCGGCATGCTTGGATGTAATCTGCCAGTTCGGCATCAGGCTTGCTGAGCAGAGGCTGAATGATACGTCTGCAATCTTCATTGGCATTTTCATAAGCTAGTTTTTTTATAAGTTCCTTTTGTGCTATGGGATTCCGGATCTCTCTAAAAACTGCCTTCTGCAACTGATCAATGAAATCTCCATAGGACTGACTGGACCCTTGATAAATTTTTGCGAACGACCCTGCGGCAGAAGAGCCTGGGTCGTCTATCTTTGAAAAAGCATTTTGCGCTGCTAAACTAGAATGAGCAAATGCAGCGCGTGACATGTTCTTTTGGATATTAGGAGAAGCATAACGTCCTTCGCCGATCAATTGTTCCAATTGCAAGTTTCCCCCGATTCTTCTAACGATGGCTTCTGCTTCCCTCTTATACTCTGATTCCCATACCACAAACTGTGAACTTGTCAAAATCATGCGACACAAATTTTTCCAATCGGATGGCAACATGTAAAAGGAGTTGGCTAGATTACTTATTAACCCTATGACATAAGAGTTTTGAATGCCATACGTATTGACAGCTTGCTTAATATCCCTAATTAACTTCATAGGGACTGGTTCGATATATGGAGCCCCATTTGTGTCAAATTCTACTGGGTAGCACATTTCATATTCATCCAATTCTAAATCGCCCGAAAGTTTAGCTCTAGCCCGCGCTTGAGCAATAGCGCCGGCAGGTGTTTCTGATGTTTTCGGAGCGGTCTGAGCCGGGGCCGTGGCTTCTACTTGTGCCACCGTTACAGGTTCTATCTGGGGAGGGTTCTGAATGCCAGATTGAATGTGCGGGGGCTGAAAACATCTGCAAATTCTTTGCAGACTTCCTGTAGGTCGAGTGAAACTGTTGAGTCCTGTGACGTGTATCCCCAGGGCCTCAAACCAATCGAGTCCTATTCGTTCGTTCACCCCCTACTACTAATAAGTCTAGTGGACCTTCAAAACTCTTGTATTGCACGTTAAGGGTGGCCTCCCCCTTAACACACACTCTTGATTCTGAAAATCTGTTAATACAATATCAGAAGGCCTAACTTGGCCTTAGACCCACTTCTGGAACAAATCTTCCTAAATGTATGCAATGAAATGATGGACAGGGCAGACCCTGTGTCTAGTTCCATAGATAATGGCACCCCTTGTAGCTTCACGTTGAGTGACAGCTTTTTCTTCATGGGCTTGTGTGTGCCTGTTCTACAGATGCTTCTTCGCGAAGCGCAAAAACCTACCCTATTCTGGCTGGGGAATCTGGTACCCTTCAGGCGTTCTTCTGGGGGTTGTGCCTTTCGTCGGCCCAGACACACAGCTGCAATGTGCCCTTGTTTGCCGCATGCCCGGCAGGTAGCGGAGCGGAACTTGCAGTCGGTTCTCCTGTGGCGACCTCCACAGCCGATGCACTTGAGCGGAGCCGAAGAGCTTCTCTTCTGGTTCTCTTCCTTCGCGGGGTGTAGACGGTCGACTTCCTCGTCCGGATCCTCCTCGGAGTTTCGTCGGTCGTCTTCACCACCTGAGGACGCACCCTCTTTGCTGTTTCTGATCGTCCGCATGTTTTTGATGGCGCCGCCTGCTAAAGAAGACTGCGGACACTTCCCTTAAGGCGGGGTGGAAGGATAATTCTTCCTTTGCGAAAAGTCTCTTTTTGATTACATTATGCCTTAACCCTCACACGAATCGGTCCCTACAGTTGTGCCTCGAGGTCCTTGACTTGCAGGGCTTGTAAGCCTTCCGTAGCGCGTGCGATGTATTCCTTGTTTGTGTCACCGACCTTTGATACCTCGCTGCTCGAGAGTTGCGCCAGATGAGCAAAACGGAACCCTTGGGTTAGTGCCTTCTCTTGAGCTCAGTTTACAGGTCATCCTGTTTACACTGTCTACTTGAACAAGGTTTGTGCAGGTTTCTGCGATTATCGAGAGGCAGACGTTTCCTCTAGAAAAGCAGGGTGGGCCTTCAGCTTCTTCCCTCACTTGTTTGCTGTGAGTCGTGTCTCACATTCTGGATAGACGTAGGACTCCCACCGCTCTGGTTGAGACGTCCAGAATTCCGAAGCCTTTCCGATTTTCGCCATCTTCTCGGAATCTTCCAGGAGACGGGTCTATCAGCCAGCCACCCCCGAATGCGCAACACGATTGGCGTGGCACTGCCGAGTCGACGCCGTTCCTCTCGCCGCTCGGGACTCCTTGGGTAAGCTTACACTTTTTCCTTTCCAGGTAGTGCAAGGCATCCCACCCTCGTCGCCAGTGTTGCGTCCTTGGCGGGAAAACAGACACGAGAAGCAGCTGGAGTTCTCAGGTTCTTTTAGTTCAGCGTTCAGCTTACAGGAAGATGGCTTCAGCCTCGCCCAAACGCCTCGCAGCCTCTTATATAGGCAACTCCCGGGTAAATGGGTTACTTTTCCCGCGCCAGCACCCGCGCATGCGCACGGCGCTGGCGACAGCCTGTCTGGTCCCGGGCAGCTTTGCACCTGCCCGGGACTGCCTGCAAACGCCCGAGCCGTTTGCAAAGGCTCGGGACATAACATCCCCCATCTGTGGAAAAAATGTCTTCCATGAAAGTGGTCCCTGGTGCCAAAAGGTTTGGGGACCGCTGCCTTATTGTACGTATCAGGGATTTTACTGGGGCTCATTTATCAACTACAAGGACTCACCTTCAGCTGTGAATGTTCCATCCAAATTAAAAGAGTTAGTTGCTATATATATGGAACCTCCACTTAAGTTGAGACTACAACTCTCAAAATTCCTAATCAACATAGAAGGTAGCTAGGTATTCTGGGAGTTGTAGTGAACATATCTGGAGGATATAACATTGGGAAGGCCAAAATATGCATATTGCACACACCACTTATTGCATGAACTGTGAAACTAAAGAAGAGATCTATATCCCACTAGATCACATAAAGAATATTATATTTAAAGGAATATGTAAGACAATATCACTTTCTCAAGCAGTAATAAGGCTGTTGTGCTACAGTTGGCTGGGTTTTCAAAACATCCTTAGGCATAAATCACAATTTACAAGCCACAATAGTTCAACAGACCACATTATGACCTAGTATGTTATACAAATACGAACACAGCACAACACTGACTTGAGTCAGTCTTTTTAGATAATTTGATTTGTTAAGCGCTGCAAATGTTTCTGAAAGAAGCACAGTCCGTGGCTAGCTATTGGTAACTAGATTTCATTTTAAAAGCAGCTATTATTTGTCATTGTTGGTAACTGCAAAGAAACTAACACTTCTGAACTCTGAAGGGATGACTTAGTATGGCAAGATTGAATTTAGTGCCATTTAGTCAAACCAACTTTGACTGCACTATTGGAATAAGATTTTTAGCAACTAATTCTATCCCTTAGTTTGCTCAGTTTGTCTACCATAAAACTCTATGGAAATGTATTTTCTAGCTCCATATGCCAATTATTGTAAATAGGAGCTGAAGTTTTCTCAGGAAAGACTTGAATACTTATTTGAGTATTTACCTACCAACATTGTTTATGTTCTAGAACATGTCTGTTTCTCTTACATACACAGACAAATACAAATACACATTGGCACACAGACACACAATGTGTAATATATATATAGGAAGGAGCTATCAAATACTATTAAGGGGGCTGCCAACCATTTTTCAGTCAATTTAATGACCATGAATATTCAAAGTTTTCACATTCCAGATAACTGTACTTATAACTCCAGAGAATGTTTGAATAATTCTTGGGCAACAGTGACAACTGAACTTGTTTAAGAGTGGCATGTTCCTTGTCATAAGCACAGCCCTTGATTGACAGTGGTAAAAGAGCAAAGTGGCCTGGCGGAACACATGATACCACTCAAACTGTACAGTTTGGTGTACAGATGAACAGTATGGTGTAGGAGATCAAGTATTAGTAGCCAAACTGAATTCTAGTTCTCTCTCTCACTCCATCATGTCCCCCCTCATCCTTCATTAAATTAGACATACCCAATTCCAGCAACCATTCTCTATATGCTTTAGCCTCCTGTCACTAATCATCTTTGTTGCTCTTCTCTGTACTCTTTCTAGAGTTTCAACATCTTTTTTACATTGTGCCAACCAAAACTGGATGCAGTATTCCAAGTGTGCCCTTACCAAGGCAGATAATGATGTAGAGATTGAAGTACAGAAGATATGAATAGAGGTATGCATGAGGAGGTAGATACAGATACCAGTACTGATACAGATACTCAGATTTATATAGAGATATATATTAGTGGAACTATGGATGCAGATATAGTTGTAGCTATATTCTTCCACCACACAGAGCACTGTGCAAAGTATGAAGTTATTTCCTATCAGTGACTCAATTTACACGTAATTCTAAACCAGGGATGGACAACTTTTTGGTGATAAAGGGCTACATTAAACTTGTTTGTGAGGCTGAAAGCTACAAAGTAGATGGGTCTATAGTGGAACTGATGTTGGGGGAAGCTTTGTGATTCTTTATGCTTTTTAAGTGTGATGTGCTTATATAATCGTTTTCATTTCCCATGGTGTAATCAATTTTTAATAACCATGATCAGAATATGGTTTGAACATCACAAAAAAGAGTATCCTTGCATTACAGCATCATGAGGTTTGTTTGGTTTTGACGTATGATACTATATTGTATAAACTATGCACTGTTAGTAGCGAACCAAGGTTTATGCCTTAGGTTTCATGAATTCAGATATTATGTATTATTTAACAAACTAGGAACAAAACAATACATGGCACAAAGTGTGATTTAGCCAATATTCATTGTTTCTCATTGTTTTTTTATATAGCTCAGTACAGCGAGGATGAGTTTCTACCCTCTATAAATCAGAGTTTTCAGGAAAGAATAATCACCATTATCACTTCAGTACTATGTGGGATTCCAAAATATTCCTGTCTAAAAGCAAGAAATGTTATAGAATTTTTTTTTTTAAAAAAAATAGAAGTTGATCCTAACTACATAAAAAATCCAAATCTGATCTATATGCCTACCATGAATTGCAATCTGACATAGGTCTGGTTTATGCAGCATATTAAACCATAACAGAGATCCAGTATAGTATAAAGTTAAGATGCTCATCTAGGAATAGGGAAGTCCAGCTACCCTTCTACTCTCAGCTGAAGAAACTCACTAGATCAGCGGTTCTTAACCTTTTTGAACGAATCGCCCCCTTGAGCCAATGAGGAAGTTGTCATCGCCCCCCTCCCCCAACATAACCTCTCAATCACAACATAGGAAATAATTCTTCAATTTATGCAAACACTTTTTTTTGTTTTCTTTAAAATTGTCATCAGGACATATCGATGCAAATAATTTATTTCCTGTCTTTTCCCCATTCCCCATATCTGGCCAATGGTGCGCCACTGTATGGGGTAGGGCTGCTGTGCAATGCGCATGAAGATAAGCGATGCATCTTCACATATGTACGGCGTTCTGTACTGAAGCTAGCTGGAGGAACATTTGAAAACACAATTCAATCCACTAATAGTGAGTGATCTGATGTTTTTGTACGACAGATATACAGCGATTCACTGTACGAAAAAGTCTCAAAAGTATCCCCAAAACTTCTCGCTCCATCGCCCCCATATCGCCCCCTTTTTGTTCCTTCGCCCCCGTGTCGCCCCTTTTCGTTCCATCGCCCCCCTGAAAAATGAAATCGCCCCCTGGGGGGCAATATCGCCCAGGTTAAGAACCACTGCACTAGATGACTCTGGGATAGTCATTCTCCCTCTCTGCTCAATTTTTCTTGCAGGGCTTTCATTGTAGAGAAGAAAAGAGAGGAGGCCCTCTGTATGCCATCTTGAGCTCTTGAACAAATGGCAGGATATTAGTAAACAAATAAAATGGTTAATTTAAATATTGTGCGAACTCTGTCTTCAAATCCTAGATGTTATCAAATCTATGCAAAGATTTTGTTATATTGAGTTACTACTAACTTCAGAAAATTGCCTAAAACAAACCACAGCTTGTGAACCTGTCAAGGAATCACAAAGCCTATTAGCTAAGCTTATTTAGTTAGGCAGGGATAATGGAGTCCAGCACATGAAAAGCTGTTGCCTTTATAATTTCTTATGGACTGTTGCATTCCAATTAAATCTTTTTCCTATCACGTACAGCCCTCCCTATTGCCCTTCTTAGGACCAATCTATCCGAAGATATAATTAGTACTGTTCTACAGACATAAAAATGAGCTATTGGATTACTAGAAATATAATCTAGCATTATGTATGATGATAATCCGAGACAGCATATGGTCACCTCAATATCAAATACAGTTATAAACCATCAGCAAGTTTTTCAAGGCTTACTGAAGACATTGGAAACATTTGGAAGGCTTTTAGTTTAAGCTGCTTGCTCCTATGATCACAAATGGAGAAATCTATGTGGGGTTTCTAAAAAACAGAAAATATCAATGGAACTGGACTGAGAATAAAGATTTAATTGTTTGCACCTGCAAATATCTTCTTGTTTATATGCTAGAGTGTGTAAAACTGGTTACATAATTTTTTAGAATAGTGCTGTAAATTTTGTTATTATATACATCATGCAGATGGTAGTTGAAGAATCCCATATGGAACTTCTAGATAAAAAAAACTCAATTATTATCATTAATACAAATTGTTGTTTTTTTCACTGCTATTTTAGTTCTGCATAGTTTTCACACAACTGACATCTTGTTTTTCTGCACCACTTGTAGTCCTTTCCACTCCAGAAGCCTGCTTTTTCTTCTCACGTCTTCTTCTGGTGCTCAGAAAAGAGGCTTTGCTTTGCTTTGCAAAAAGCTGGGTATCAGTACTGACATCTTGATGCTTTCTTTTCTTAAAAAGTATTTGGGGCACAGAAGACCGGGGTTGGATTTATTATTTGCAGCATCTTAGCTCTACCAGAGTCCCGGTGCTTTTTTTAAAATAAAATTTTGTTATAATTTCTATACAGAATAAATATGAACAAGAATATTAGGAATGAAAAAAGAATGAAAGAAGGAAGAAAAGAACAAAGAGAAAAGTGCAGAAATCAAAGAATTTCCAATTTTCTTTTACAGAAGTTATAAAGTAACCTCTTACATTATGGTTATAGCATTGTGTACACTTTCTTTATAATCTATTATTTTTATTCCAATTCTCAAAACCATTATATCATGATTTTTTTTCTGTTTGCCACAAAATGTCAATAAGAGGTTTCCAATCAGAAAATTTATTCAATTACATATTCTCCCACTGAGCGTGTATTATAACAGAAGATTTTTGCCCATTTTGTCATACTTCTTTCACTTTTTTCTTCTATTCTTTTATCTACTTTAAATTTTTCTAATTATACATACAAAACCATAGATGTGAATATCCTAATTCCGCCAGTATTTCTCTTGTTCCAATTCAACAATCTCCTTGATAAAATTCTAATATATCGAAGCAAGTCAACCATTTATGTTTAGTAATCATATTCTTCTATAAAATGCTTCCTGTGCTGAGAGTGACAAAGGCATTTTCAGACGCAGCCTAAATGTTCCATATGCGCAGTATGGCACATCTAATAAAATTATTCTTAAAATATACATTAACTTTTGCTTTATCATACTGTAGATATCCGTGCTATGTAAAACTCAAATCATATCCTTCTAACTCCAAAAGCCTCCTGTTTCTTAGCAACTTTCATTCTTTTCATCCAGACCAAACAGCAGGCTGAAAAATATAATTTCAAATCAGGTAAGCTCAATTCTCCTTTCTTTTGCATCTTGTATTATATTTCTATTTAACTAGAGGTTTCTCCTCCTGCTATGCAAATTTAATGTTTTTCTGCCATTGTTTAAATGGCATATATGTCAAAACTAGTATTGACTGAAATTAACATTGTAGGCAAGACATTAATCACATAAATTCTCCCCAAAAATGACTATTGTGTTTTCTCCCATCAATCTCAGTAGTTCTCTGTAATGGCCTTCACAAAATCTCTAACTTATTAAGAAACCTATTCATTGTCATATCCTGCTTTAGGTAGATTTGTCTGCTCTCTCAACAAATAGATTGGGCTTAATTCAAACTTAATTCACTATCACCTTTGATACCAGGTTTACATTTCATAAATGTATGTTGAAAACCTTTTCTATGGACTATATTCTTAAGTGGCAATTAACACAGGGATTCAATGCTTATATATACTGTACTTCATATTATAGGTATGTCTCAACTATTATTTACTTTTGGCATCCCCGTTTGATGATTGTTATAGCAGTTTCCACTCTGCATTCTTTTACATCCAGCTCATCTCAACTTTTCCACCAATTCAACAACGAAGATTCAGTCTGAACTTCTGAAAAGGCAGAATTAAGACTATGCCATTTGCTCTAATTCTGCCTGTTCCCGGTCGCCATTGCAAAACTTTGCTTTAAATAACTTTTTCCATCGAAGCAGAGTAGGTTTCACTGAGTTTCACAGTCGATGGATGCAAAATGCAGCCAAAGATCTTTCCCTGCAATGTAATGAGATGGCTGTCAGCCAAAACATACAAAATGAAGTGGGGTGAGAAAGGGCCTGATTTCATGCAGGGATCCTTGCTAGACAGACACGAATCTCCCCGTTTCCACCGACTTGGAAAATATATAGCACGGTACAGGTCAAACTCCACGTGCGTTTCGCGTCGTTTGCTCACGGAAGATCTTCTCCGTCGGAATTCGGCAGCGGGAGGAGGAGGAGCCCGAAAGGGCGGGAGGTGTGGATTTGGGTTCGTGCGCGGCGGGAGTCGGGAGGGAGACTCAGCAATGAATGAAGGCGCGAGCCTCTCCGCAGAGTCGCGCGGCTGAAGCGCCCCTAGCGTTTTCTCCGCACCGCCGTGACCGGCAGCTTTTGGGATTCCGCGTCCTTCGCGGGCAGATCAGCGCCAGCCGCGGTCCCCTTCGTGTCGGCTCAGGAAGGAGGGGTACGGGGAGGAGCAGCCGCCGCCGGATGCAGGGAGAGAAGAGCTCCGGCTCTCCTGCGCAGCTCCGCCGGCTACTCACCTGAGCGCGCAGTGGCGGCAGCGGGAGGAGTCGCCGCCGCCGCCGCCGTGATCCCGGCCCAGGGGGGCGGCGGCGAGGGCAGCCGACCCAGAAGCCATGGCAGAGACTCTGGGAGTCTAAGAGGGGCCGCCTTCGCCTCGCTCAGAGCTCCAGCGGAGAAGCCGCCCCGCAGAGGCCTGCGAGCCCGGAGCGGGAAAAGCAGGCAGAGAGCGTGGCCAGGCCAGTAGGCGGTCGTGGGGCCGGCCCTTCCCAGTCTTGGCCCGGGCCGGCTTTGCAGGGCGGCGCAACCGCACGCGCAAGATGTCCACCCGCACGCCACTGCCCACCGTCAACGAGCGGGACACGGAGAACGTAAGTGCAGCCGGGTTGAGTTACGGCCGGCCACCAGCCGGGGGTTTCTTCGCGCGGCCAGTCGAGGGACTGCGAGGGCGAAGGGGCGGCTTTGCTTTCGCGAGGGACTGAGGGAAGACCGGGGTGCCTTTCGGCGAATCGTCACCCCCCTTTCCTCCCCTCTCCCCCGGGGAGGCCTTCTCCGGATCCCCCTTCCGCCCCTGTCGTCCTGCAGCCACGCCTCGGTGGGATGCTCCCTCCCCTCGCCACACCCGGGCCCGGCTTCTCCCCGGGCGACTTTCTGTCCTTCTTTCGTGCTGCGAGACTCCGGTTCCCCCTCCTCCCCCCGCAGGGGAGCCGCGGGGAAATATTTCTGGTGTGTCTAGTTCTGCTGTTGGCCTGCCAGTCTCGATTTACGTAGAAGCTTTCCAGATGGTTGGGATAGTCGGTCCTCCATGGCCAAACAGGAGGAGGGGAAGGAGCGGGTAATCTGGGCAGAAGGTAACCTTGCAGGTAAACTTTCTGCTCGGATCTCTCGCTGCCTCTGCTACTGATTACCCACTGGAACGGACGTCGATTTTTTTTCTCTTGGGATCCTCTTGTCCAGTAATCATTCTGTTTCTAGGCCAGGCAGAGATGCCTAACTTGTGACCTCCAAAAGTGAGCTGCTCTGTCAATCCATCATGCATAGCAAGGAGTAAGATTTTTTTCACATTTTCCTGATCCTTAGTTTTGTTTTTGTTCTGTGCGGCATTCCTATAGAGGTTCATCTAAATAATTACTGTTGGACGCCACTTTCACATAGCAGCCTCAGAAATAAAAAGGAATAATTAGTTTTCACTGGGAGGTTGTTATAGGAACAGTACAATAGGGGAAAACAAGAATGAAATGTCGTAATGCATGCAAGTATTTTTAAATGGTGTTATATAAACACGGGCACACTCAAAGATGCAAGATGTTAGACTTGGGATAGTAGAAATATGACTGGAATGCCTCTTTCACGTTATTAATAGTTGCTTGATTTATGAAGGAAGAGAAGTTGAATATCCAAGTTGTGTAAAATATGGCATTGTATCTGCACATACTGTTTCTGGTAATATGTCAGAATTTATTAAAAGTGAGAGATAAAACATTTGAGATGCAGTAATGCAGTAAGAGTTGAACTGACCCTTAGTTTTACAGTGTTCCTGTGAAATATGCCATCACTGTGGATGGTGCTTATTTTTCTAAGCAAGCAAACTCTGTTCACTCTTTCCTGGAATCACTGACAGTATGCTAGCACCATTTATCAGTTCTGGTTTGAATAGTTGCATGTAATGGGAAAGTGTGTGGCAGCAATGGTGAGAAGGAAAGGAAATGCTGACTGTAAAAATAGCTTTGCTCTCACTGGCTCAGTGTAATTAAAGAGTTCCAGACTGTTTTAATCAGAACGTTGTCTAAAGAAGTTGTATGGATACCCACCATATCTTATTGCCAATACAGCAATGATTCTGATCTAGTTTGGCTTAGCTAATACTTTCACATGTAAAGTAAAAAAATAATAATACAGTTATAGGGAAAAGAAGTTATGGCAGGAAAGATGCATAGATTTTTAGTGCATAGAAACAAATTTAACATCACATAGCATAACTGAAACAATTATTGTTGAAAGAAATCAATCCTTTCTGTTTATAATATTTGCCCCCAAGAGTACATAAATAGCAAAAATTGGCTTTAAATTAACTTTTATATGAAGCAAGAACTATTGTTGCCTACTAACCTGGCTAAAACTATTAAAAGTCTCTCTGATTAATGGCAAGTTTCTTACTTTTGAAAATGTGATGCTTCTATATGTATTGAAACTTGAGGGCACAGGTTGCAATGAGAAACAGATGATGGACTTTAGAAATAAATAAGGTCTCTGAAGTTGCTTCAGATTGCAGATTGAATAGAATTAGTGGGTAATTGGATTTGAATAAGTGCAGGACAAACCAACCATGAATATGGTTCACAGTGTAAGATTTATTAGGGAAACAGACATGAATTAGCAACTCTAAAATATGTTGAAAAAGATTATTTAATTTATCTAATAAGTTTCAGCGAAGGGTATCTGTTTTTAGCAATCCTAGCATTTATTGCACACTATATATTGGAACTTTATATGTTATCTAATTTCCTTATTTGTGGTTAGATTGTTCTAATGAATTACAATCTGAAGTAAGTATGGTTGCTATTGTCTCTTCTTCTCCCCATATATAATTTTCCCAGAGTGAGTCAGCAATTGATAAAATAATTGAAATACTGTAGACAAACAGTTGCTTTTAAAATAGTTTTATTTTGATTTGTAGTCCTTTCCCCAGTTGAATATTCTTATACTCAAGTTTTTAAAATTATTACACTAAATATTATTCAGAAAGGTATTGATATTTTTAAGAATGAACCAAATAGATTTCAAAGAATTGATTTCTCTTTGTCTGCACTCACTGCAGCCTCTGCAAAGAAGAATGAAGAGTAATGGTTTCTCTAGACACAATGCTCTTGGCTATCAGAAACTCTTCCAGAGGCAAAATCCGTTTAACTTCAAAAGGAATGTGGTTTGTAGATAAAGAGCAAGACATTCTAGATTTTCAGCCAATATGTGATCTGAAAGATGGGGGAGAAAATATGTTTTACATTGATTGCCTGTATTTTACATTTTGCATGCTGGATTTTAAAGTTTGAGTTGGTTGTTTTGTTTCTTTTATTCCATGTATGGATGACAGTCCTTTACTGTTTGGTTGTTCCTCTTATAATAGCTAAAACAAACTGGAAATACTTAATGTTCATATAAATGTTATTTGAACATTTATTTTCATAATAATAATGCATAGAAATTCTGGGCAGAAAGCCAAGACTTCTGTGTAAGATTTAAACAATAAAAAGATGGCAGGTTTTGTTTATCACCTGGGATCACAAAAAGGTAGAGGTTGAAAAAAGATACAAGAGTGTAATGTGTAGACATAAAACAGCATTGCACTACTATCATTGTAATATTCCCAAACTGGATAGAGTAGGATCCATTTTAAGAGACAGCTTAAGGAATTTTAAGGGCTGTGGGAGGTGCCTTAAGTATTTGCAAGGCTTATTGCCCCTAAGACCAAATCAAGCCCTCTGAAATATAATAAAGGTCTCCAAATTTTGGCATCACCCAGTTGGGGTCTGGAGACCACAGAAAGGATGCTGATAGGCTGTGCTTTTTATGTGCTTGGCATGGGATATGAGAATGCTAACATTTGATACTTACTTGAATTAAATGAACTTTTATTTGTATTAAATGAACTTGTTAGTTTCACTTTTAAATGTTCTACAACTCTTTGTTGACTTCTGTAGATTGGGCCCACTTCATATTAATAGGATTGTATTGTTGCCACAGGAAATCATATTTAATTAACTGATATAGCCATTTTTACTTGTATTACATTCCTCCAGTTTTAGAATAATAAGGATTTCTCAGCTTAAAGTCCATCTCAATTCCTGTGGAGGAGAATTGGATGGATGAGAATATAGATAGATTTCAGACTGTTTTGATAATGTAAAAATGAGTCCTACTATATCTACTTTTCTGGAAATAGCTTTTGTTTTATGGACTTGGAAGTACCAGAGAAATTTGCAGAAGTCTATAGAGATCAAGCCCACCATTACTGGCAAATCCAAGGCTGACTTCCAAGTTTGTTCTAGATAAAGACTGCCTGAAGTCAGATTCAACTCTTGTTTGACTACCTGATTTCCCCTGTAGTTTGCTTGGGAATAGTACAAAAGTCTTTCGCCATTGTCTGCTTCGAATGTCTTCAATAGTGGATATCTTTATTTGTCAGTTATTTGTAGCCTTAATTTGATGAGTCTTGCTTTCCTTTAAGAAAATTGAGATAACTCAGCGACTGTGCACAACAGTTGCCCTATTATAGTTTGGAAATAAGGAATGCACCATGTGCCATAAGGCAGCAGAAATGAAGGTGCTGAACAAGAATTTGTTAGAAACCATAAGAGATACAGG